GTACTTGAATTTTTATACACAAAGGCCACTAAAAAATGTCTCTGGAGGGATAGTAAGAGCACCAAAAATTCATTTAAACACGAAGGCGCGCTATAAAAGGAGAGGTCCCTTAGGTGCCTGGTGGACGAACAAAAGGAGCTAATAAGATGTTTACTTCCACCAGCATGGTGGCAATGATGTAACGTGCAGCGAACCATCTACTTAGATTTCAAATTTACCGCCACAAATAAAGACAGTTTTCATTGGAGAAAGGAAATACAAATCTCAAAAATACTTCTATTGTGATGAAAACATAAAAAAAATTTGAGGAATGCGCCTGCTGTTCACTGCTTTGGATTAGCTATAGCTCAAGCTTACTTGACTCTTTAGAGTTCTACATCGCACGACGGTTGATTGACAAATGGTCCAGAGGTACCTTAGGCACCTCTCCTTTAATAGCGCACCTTCGTGTTTAAAAAACGAGTAACCGAGACACCAATAATAAAAATAAAAAAGAGTGAATATGATATAGTGTTGACGAAGCAGTAACAATTAATTTTGTTCTAACACTAGTGAGAACAAGAAAAGGAATTTCGATGTCAAAGTCCTAGCTGACACTTGGCATTAAGTCATCTGAAGTGTCCAGAATTTACAATACATGGATAACACTTTTTTCTCAAGACCTGTCCTTTCTAGTTCCATGGCCTTCAATATCAGAATTACAAAAAAGGCTTCCAAAAAGGTTAATATGCAAGAGTAATTATTGACTGTCTTGAACTCTCTATGCAAAAACCAACAGTTCCTTCAAGCCAAAAGATCACATGGAGTAATAATAAACACTGGAATACCGCGAAATTATTAATCGGAATAACACCAAATGGTGTTATATCTTTCACTCCACCATTATGTGCAGGACCCATCAATGATAAAGAAATTTTTAGGCAAAGGGGATTGCTGAACTTGCTTAAGGAGGGGGATACAGTCATGGCTGACAATGGTTTTGTGATTCGGGATCTCTTAACATCTAGGAAAGTCCACCTTGTTTCACCAGCATACTGTCGAGGACCCCGTCGGTGAGCCAATTAGGGACTACACACACCCGCCGTGTGGCATCACTATGCAATCATGTTGATAGAAACATTTCGAAACTGAAACAATTTAGAATTCTTTCAGGAGTTATATCTCTTTTGTTAAAACCAATGTTGGATAGAATTGTATTTGATTGTGCTGCTTTCAAAAATTTATGTAGAAGAACCATAAAGGAAGGTGCACTCTGCAGTAACTAAAACTTGTATTAAGAGATTTTGTTGATCTTTTTTTACTCTGGGATAACTGTTTTAAGTAAAATTGTACCTATATAAAGCTTCCCTATGGAAAAAAGGAACTATTTGCTCACAACAAAACTTGTAAACTGCAACTACAACAGTTTCCAGAACTCATCTATGACATTAATTGTAACAATAAATATCCCTTTACTCGTGTATGTAACAAATTCACTAGTTTTTAAACCTCAAACTGCCACGCCAGTCTGAACTCGGAAATAATGCAAGTGATTTTTGTCAAGAAAATAATTCCCATCTTTATCCTTTTTCCCACCAACTGTGGGTAACAGTCACAACGACATCTTCTAATACTATCTAAACGTGCTCCTATCCAAGAACAACTGCTACCAATGAGGAGACCAGGCTCCTCAAGATCAAATGAACAGTGCTGTTTTTCAATGACCTATGAGTAGTAAAATTTTGCATTTTCTTCTCCCTTTGTACCATATTCTATGGCTTTAGGATACACTTCGTTTTCTTTAATTTCTTTTAGATCAATGAAATTTTTAGCAGTGAGTGATAACTCTTGTTGATCGATGAAATTTTTAACAGTGAGTGATACAACAGTAAGAGGATCTTTTCCCAAGGTCTTTTGTCTGGTATAAACATGTTTAATTTTTTTACCAGTAACCAAAAGGTGTCTCATCTCCTGCCAGCTTTTGCTCTTGTATTGACCCACAGTTGCTTTTTTATCATCATTCTCTCACTGTCTGTAAATGTTAAGGATTTCAGAAATTCTTCGGAAAACTTTAACCAACGCAGTCATTAGCTTGAGATAACATGACCAGATGTATGATGTTATTTTCAGAAAGTAGAGAACACCTATCATTTTTCTCATGGTATTTTGAATGTGGTAAAAAACCAAGAATACCAGAACAAGGATCAATTTTTCTAAGTTTCTTCGAAAAATCCTTTTTTTTTTTTCATGACTCACTTCTTTTCTATCTTTCTTAGGTCCAGGATCAAAGCGATCAATCCATGAATCATGTTATGAGGTTACTTTTCGTTTCGTTTTCCTCAGAGAGCTTTTCGATAGTTTTATCTCTGACCTAAGGACAGGTTTGTGTGTAGGCGGTGGCTTCGTTTGGTGATAAACAAAAATCAACTTATGTGAAGAGTCTTCGGTAGTTCAAGGCTGCACTCTAAGGAAAGTTGAAAGGAGCCCTGTGCTCTAAAACCTAACCAAACTAAACTCAACCAATTTATCACAGCAACAATTTTTTCCATACAAGAGTCAAAAGAGCTAAAAGAGAACTTACAGTTACGTCCTAAAAATTTCCATTTCGTTTTGGCGACCACACAAAAGCCCCATTGGGAACTCAACGCAATAGTTATGAGGTAATTTATATGGTCCAAGAGTTAAAACAAGGCAAACAGCAATGTTTTGTAAGCACAAAAAATGCAATGCAAAGAAGTAGCAAAATGTATGTATATTTATAGTTAACTGGTAAAATCTAAGATAATATTAATAGAAGCCTAGTTTAACACTATAATTGGAGCCTCGAGAATAAACCAATAGAGGTACAGTGAGGTACTTGAGCAAACTCTTGTAAGCTATCTTTACTATTACTTTTGTTATCATCATTTTCATAATTATTACTATGATCATTATTATTGTTAATATGATTATCTGTTGCCACTTAATTGATGGTTGGTGAGTGTCCATTAGTCACTACATTCTTGAATTATCTTTCCCTTGTCAGAACAAGCCTGACTCAAAAATATGTGGGATGTAGCAGCAGTAGCCATATGCA